CTTTGTCCCAAAGCCCCTAGCGTACTGTATATTGATCATGACCAACAGATGGGTTGGGAATTAAAGGTTCATTTGGTGTAGTTTTTTAAGTGTTTTAATTTTTTAATATTATTTATATTTTATAAATTTAAATTTTTTTAAAAAATTTATATTTTAAATATTTTTTTAATTTTAAAAAGATTTTAAATAGTAAAAGATTAAAAATTTTAAATTTAAATTTTTTATAATTTTTTTTTACTTATTTTTTACTCATTTTATCTCTAAAAATATTTTTAAAATTTTTTAAATAAAAATTTTAATTTATTATACATAAATAATATAAAAAAATACAAAAATTTCAACGATATGCACCAAACAACCTCTAAGTCTATTACTAGAAATCCTATGTTCCTTGTTGTGGTAGCCTACTCCTATTCTTAGATGTTGGCTACTTGGCTCTGCTACTTGAATTGTTCGGATTCTATTTGATTGGGTCCACAATTATCTCCACATTTATTATCTTAGTTTCGGTATTGGGCCTCTATGTTTGGATTAGTCTTTTTTGGGGAATGTGCAAGTTCTTTCATTTCTAAAATCCCCAAGAAGGGTAATTCGATGTTTTCAGTGGGCATTCCCCAGACATTTACCATTAGCTCATTTTGTAGACAATTTGCTGAATAAGAGCATTTGCATCAATTTCCTCATTTGCCAGCACACTCTTATTCCTTGCCAGCCACAAGGTATAAACAGCAACAGAAGAGGCAATTCTTATAGTCTCCTAGCTTCGTCCCTGCTGCCCTTGCATCGCTCAATGCCTCTTTCTAGTCCATCAACCTCAAGGGACAAAAAATATCCACTAGCTGTAACTTCTGTAAACTCTATCTGAAATTGGTCTAAACAGAGGAATCAAAAAAGAGATGAGATGCATCCTCGCTCATCCTAATCTACACAAAGATGGCACTTGCTAATTTGTATTCAAAAATACTATAATTACAATGATATATGATATTATAAACATACAACATGATATGTCATTACATAATTAGTTCTTTTCATTCAAGGGTCTACCCATAATATTGTATATATTTATTTATTTAATATCACGTCATATTTTATTAAATATCACATAAGATTGTACCACGTAAGATTGTAAGTTTATAATCTTATTTAGTATTGTAACTATAATATTACCAATTTGTATTTAAAGTGATTGCCCTGTATTTGAATTGGTTCTATTTTGTTTTATTATGATTAATGATGTGTTATTTTTTTTGTAAATTTTTTTTTTAAAGAAGACTTATTAAAATTAAGTTTTAAAGCCACTAAAATTCCTTTAATATAATCCTGCAAAAGACTGTTATTCAAAGAAATTATCGATGGCCTTAATATTTTTGTTAGTGGTAATAATTATGCCTAATAATAAGTTTGAAATTTTAGATTTTAATTTCTTATTTTTACAATATAAACTATAAAATAAGGACCATTATGTTAAAAGGTTTATCCCTACATTTAGAAGATTATCTAATTTGGTGGTTTTATATTGCTGTGCAATCCATTAGTTTTTAAATTTTTAGAAGCTGAAAATAACTTTTTAAAAATTAAAGTAACTCTTTTCAAAAAAAAATTATTTAGTTTAACTTTATCTTTGTACTAGTAGATAACTATTTTTTCAGAAGTTGGAAGAGTGCTGCTGAAATATAAAAAAAAAAAAACACCAATAGATGTGAAGGAAGATTAAGATGGGCATAAGGCATTTTGAAAAGCAGAATGAAAGGTTAGATCATTAATATAATAGAAAGAGATATTGCTTTCGTGTGGAATGCACATTCCCTCTATTTTAATATAATTTCTTAAATGGGGGTGAGTGGGAGAACCACTCCCAAATTCAATAGTGATGCCTTTTTGCTTCAATACTTAAGCTTCCCTTTCCATTTCCAGTGCTATTCTATTCAGCATTCCATCTTCCAACTTCGCTTTCATACACTATAAACTTGGAAATAAACATCAGATCAAGAGTTGCAGTAAGTTTTTATTTCAGGGTCTGTGTACAACTTAGGACAATCAATAAAAGTTTGCAGTATAAATGGCTGTTTGACTTCAAGAAAACCTTTGTAACATTAAGAATTTAGACAAAAATAACATGGATGAGTTGGAGTTCCACAAATGAATCTGTTTTTAGCTTAAGATACCAGGAAATGATGATAGAATAGTTTACGAGCATTGTCAATGAAATGAACCTGTCTTTTTTCTTTCGCTAAATTTAAAAATTAATTGTTTGACATTACAGAATCTTAAATTTTTTATCTTGATTTCAAATTAAAGTTTTGAAATTAGTAAATATCAATTTGACTAGCCTATGGTTAATGAACTTAACTTTTTAGTAAAAAAATGTACTATTTTGTGTTGAGTCTGCAGAATGTGTCCCCTAATGTCCTGTATATAGTATTGTTTCCATTTTCTTGCTAGTGCTTCTTGCTCCACGCACTACATTAATCAAATCCCAACTTTAGGTGTGTGTCTTCCACACGACCTTACCATTTTATTAATAGTAGTATTGCCCGTCAATATCAAAAGCCCTCCCGATTTCAGTTCCTTCCCTATAAGTACCCTTGAAGGGTATGTCTCATACCAGTGATCACAATGATCTTCTCTTCATAAGCCTTCCCTCTGATATTGTTTCTTCCCGTTCAATTTCTCTTTCCACAATGGCTGCAGCCCTTAGAACTTCTCAGCCCGTAGAAATGAACATTCAAGTGATTGATGCTGAGAAAAGCAGACTCGAAGTAGTCAAAGAAGAAGAATTCGACTATTCACAAAGGGCACAATGGCTTCGAGCTGCTGTACTTGGAGCCAATGATGGGCTGGTTTCTGTTGCATCACTAATGATGGGTGTTGGAGCTGTAAAGCAAGACGTTAAGGCCATGCTTCTAGCTGGATTTGCAGGCTTGGTTGCAGGGGCTTGTAGCATGGCCATCGGAGAGTTTGTCTCTGTTTACACTCAAAGAGACATAGAGACAGCTCAAATGGAAAGAGAGAAGAGGATGCCAGGAAGTGGAGAAGAGAAAGAAAAGGAGAGGCTGCCAAACCCAGTACAGGCTGCTGCAGCATCAGCCTTAGCCTTTGCTATTGGTGCAGTGGTGCCACTGTTGGCAGCAGCATTCATAAGAGATTATAAGGTGAGGCTGGCAGTGATTGTCACTGTGGCTAGCCTAACATTGGTGGTGTTTGGGGGAGTAGGAGCGGTGCTCGGGAAGACTCCGTTGGTGAGATCTAGTGTTAGGGTGGTGATTGGAGGGTGGCTGGCCATGGCTATCACGTATGGACTTACCAAGTTGATTGGCAGAAGTGGTATTTGATGAGAGAACCTTTGCTTCACCCTGGTTTGCATGTTTAGCTTTGAATGCCATGCTCTACCATAGAGAGTATGCAGTAATTGGGCTTGTTTGGGAAGAAATAAATAGATGATGCTCTGAGCTTCTTCGAAAATAAAAGAGCAATTAATCAATTAAGCAGGTTCCATATGAAATTGCGTCCGCCATTTGTGCTGAACTCAGATCTTTTTCTTCATTTATTTGTCATATTTTTAGTATATATGATTTATTGTTATGATTCCAAGCTCGATCAATATTTGTAACACTGACAAATGGTAAAAAATGATAGAAAAGAATCTCAACCATCAAACAGGAAGCCACAAACGACAAAAATTTAGATAAAAATAAGTTTTGCCAGGGCAATGCAAAGAAGATGGAGCATTTTTCACTCTACAGAAAAATTCAAACACAAAATTGAACTCCATCCAGAGTAGCAAATGTCTTAGTTTACTTTCCTGACTTGCCACCTCTTCCTCGGCCCCGCCATCCTCCTTTTCCACCACGAACCTTACCACCACCACCACTGCCAAAGGCCTTGGCTTCAGGCTTCATGTCTTCTGGCAAGGGAAGGATGTGATCAACACACTTCCTAAAGCTAAAATCATCAACAGTTTCATCATCCCTGACAAGGAAGAAGCATCTACTCTTCCACATTGGATGGTACCTGACTTGGAAAGCTTGGATTCCTCCACCAATTTTTTTATCAGGCTCTGCATGACCTTTCTTAAGCAAGTCTAGAAGCACCATATGCTCATACTGCAACAAGCAAATAAAAATATTTACCCAAAAAAAAAAAAAACCAAATATATATATATATATATAAATCTTAAATCTAAAACTGCAGGACAAGCAGAATTGTAAGTTAATATGCAAAGTGGAACCCCCAAATTTTCTCATGTACTCATCCATTTTAATGTGTTGGGACCAATGACATGAAATTAAGAGCGTAAATGTGCGTTCAACTTGGACATAAGAAACCATGCTATTTAAAATTTCCTTTTGTAGATGGTAAGTATTAATCCATAATGCATGATCCAGGCAAGAGTAGAGCTAAAATTTGCTATTTTGATTCCTTCAAAAATAACCTGGACCACCACTAGCTGATTGTTGATTTAGCCAAGCATTTGCCTGTCACTAGCTGTCCCAAAGAAGCTAATTTACTTAAACTGCTTCACTGCAATAGAAGCTCTCTTCTATAGGTGTTAAAAAAAAAGAGAGGCTAAAGCCACTCCACTTTCCGTCAACTGGAAGCTCACTTCAGCATAGTCCATTAATATGAAAAAATAAAAAATATCCTACGTACATTTGTATCACTATATTCAAATTGGTAATGTGAATATAAGAACCGACTGAAAATTCAGACAAAAAAAAAAAAATCAGATCTTAGATAAGGGTAAATACCATATTAATCATTGATTACTACTCTAGACCAAGCCCATCTCTTAAACATTTACATGCTAAGAAGTTAAGAACTACCGTGCTATTGCCTTATCTCCTGAGTACTGAGATTATCTACAAACCTGAAATCCTAATTTCTGTTCCTTCTACCCTCAATTCATGGGCAAAGGAAAAGCAATCCAACAAATCTAAAATGTGACATTATTCTTACGAAACCACCAAATTACAATCCCATATGTATAGTATCCATCCAACTCCGAGAGTCAATTTCAACCCAAAGAAAACCCCTTAAAATTGAATCAATATGAAAACAATTGAAACTAAAAAGGTAAATCCTTTGAGAGCAACAGAGCAAATATGTTCGATAAATATATATAAATTTTCTCAGCAAACAAACACAAATTAAATGGTTCAGACATTTACATACCTTGTTAACATTGACATTAGGAGGCCAGAAATGAAGAAACTTGAAGAAGTAATCAAACATCTCGACGGACGATTCAAACTGCTTCGGGCCCAGGCTGACCGGATCCGAAGGGGCGATCGACTTTTCATGAGTTTCTTCCTTCACGGGCTCCTCCACCTTCTGCTTCTTGGAGGCGTCACCGTCTTCGTCCCCTTCCTCTCTCTCACGTTTGATGTCCGACTCAATTTTCACACCGCCCTCCTGGTTATCGGCGTTCGTTTCTGCGGTTTTGAGATCCATATCTTCTGTTGGGGAGTTGGCGGCGACGGACTCTGTTGCTGCGTCCTTTTCGGCCATTGTTAAGGATAAAACCCTAGGTCGCCTGTGCTGCCTTCGAAAGTGATGGCTTTAAAGACTGTTTTAAAACATTTACAAACGTTGGGTTTTTCAATTGTCTTTTTTATCCTTAGCATTATGGAGCAGATTAGCCATTAAAAATACTAGTTAATACCCCGGCCAATGCTCGGGCTCTTGAAATTAAAAAAATAAAATAAAAATTTATTATTAAAAGAAAATTAGTAGTGAAAGGAAATATCATTATATAAAAGAAAAATATAACAGTGAATTCTAAAGAATTTAATCCTAATTATCTCAATCTCACAATATATTCATATTTAACTGCTTAGGGATATAATCGAAAACAACAAAATACTAGCGATATTGTGTCTTATTATAGCGATAGTGTCCGCTGCCATATATGATTCACGAATAATATGGACGACACAACCTCAATGTAAGAAATTTGTCATAGAAGGTTTCTACAATCAAAATTCAACTTGAAGAAATGAGAATTGTCTCATGTTACATAACACATTATCAAATGTGTTTTGCAAAAATACATTAGACCATGTGCAAACTTCCTTCACCAATACAGAAATGCTCTTATCAATTCATAGTCACTAAAAAGTCAATGTAAAAAGCAGTAAAGCCAATAATAAATCCTACTATCCTACATACATATACGTTATACTGCTGGATAATTTTGCATCTATACTTGTAAACAAATTCCCAATTCTAACCACCTTTAACATATGTAATTATGTATTGCATTTTGCATGTTGCATTTTGTTGCCTCCATGATACCCACAAAGGAGAAGGAAATAAACAGAGGCAAGGTAAAATGGTAAATCCCATAGCCTTAGGTTTACGTGCATCCAAGAAAATTCAGTTACAAACTATTGATTAGAAGATAAGGAAAATTTTAAATAATCAGAATGTTTTCTACTTAGAAAAACATAGTTGCTAACCAAAACCATAAGCATAAGGGAGTCAATGAGCAGTATCACTAGCAAGTATTATTTGATTGTAGCAACATACAAACTTTTCAGCAACTTCAACATGAATCACCCATAACTTTATATCAATAACAATTATAACTAAGAGCTCTTTACCAGCCAGTTTGATTTGTTAACTTCTTGCATGTCTACACAAATTTGCATTCTTTTGAGAGCAATCGTTACAAAAAATGGAGAAGGAACCTTATTACATTCAAGAACAGTTATAATTAACTAATTTGTCTTGCGCATGAGATAATAATTGTATAAGTAGAAAGCTAAAGCTTAAGCTTAAGCATATCTCAAGCGTTAATCTTTGAGGATTTCTTCATGTTAAACTAATGATGCTACATAAGAAGGCACTTTCATACCATGATAACTTCACGATAGCTTCACCATTTCTTTACAAACCAAGTAACAAATTGATGAAGAAAGTAAAATAATTGCTGAAAAAAATGGAAAGCTGGAAGCATCAAAGTTAAAACCAATTAACCATTTTGCGTGAAGTAATTTTGTAACATTAAAAAAGCTAAAAGCTAGACAGACCCTTTTACCACTAGCCATTGCCAGAAAAACCCAAAATTACAGAGATGTCAAAGACACATTTGAACATTTTGTTATAAATTAACCAGATTCAATAGGCAAAGCTCTTGATTTCCCATATAAACTCAATCAAGACTAATGAACTAAATCATACTGAAGAATCCCTTTGTCTCTAACTTTGTTATAAACTGAATATTACAATGGTACAACTAATATGCATTTAGAAGTATATTTAGATTCTAATAAATTAAAACGAAGGTGGTACGCAGATACAACTATTCATGTGGGTATCATCGAGCTAAACCAAAGAACACTGAACATTTCTAAAATCTCAATTATCTTAGCAAATGATGCTATGCCTTGAAAGCTATAGGTCAAACTTCTGTCATGTTACTCTAGGCTACAAACCCAATACAGGTCAAGACTCTATGCTCGTTTCTATGAAATAAAGTTAGCATATGTTATAAGAAACCTCAACTGACACTAATCTCAAAAAAATAAAAATAAAAATAATTAATTACCTTGTATTTTAGGTCCTTGAGAGTATCAACCACTTTGGCACTACCAACTAAATTGACATGAATTTCATTGGATTTAGCAGGATCATCCCATATATTATAGACATAGATCATTTCCTTTTATTTGATTCGTCTAACTTCTTCAAATTCCAGGGCAGTTGGTGCTAACATCTCTACACAAAGAATTACATCTTCAATCTTTTCAATGAAAACAAATCTAAACCATTTGAATTAACATATCCAATTTCAAGTGAGAAAGGATGATAAAGATGTAAGAGATTTGAAAAGATAAACAATAACTGCTAAAGAATTTGTTAAAACTCATAGCTTATTCTTAAGAACAATCGTTTTGAAAACACAATATCTTAAAATAAATCACTAACTCCTTAGCTTTGATTTGATAACTCCGATCCTCTAGGCAAGTCTAAAGTCTCAACAATGGGAACTGGGAAATACATTGCATTAAAAACACCAAATGTTCCTTGAGAATTGGAGAATTGCAATGTAGCAAATTTCAGTTTCTCTAAAACATCACATCCAAGGTGCTACAAAACTAAATGCCAACATTTAGACATCTCTTTAGTTTGCACTCTCATTTCTTCAGTAAAGATAATTTTTTGTGACTTTAACTCAAATAGTTGATGCTCATTAGCATCTGAAATCCCAGATCAATTCAAAACTCAGACACCCTTTTTGAACTATAATACCAAGAAAGCATGATAAAACCAAGTACATGAAAATGGAGAGAAAAAAAAAAAAAAGGCAAAGAAGACAAACCAAGCTGGTTAGACACCCTATTCTTGTCATCAATAGAATGAAAAGCTTGAACTATCAAATGTACAGATTGAGTCTTTGACTGAACTGAAGTAACCTACAGAATAATTTCTTGAATTATAATCTAAAGATAAAACCATAAACACAAAGAAAGTCTAATATGTGAAATTAGAGATAGGAATTCTAAAACAAAGAATGGTACCTTCAGACATATCATTACTCAATACAATGTTGATTCCTTTGACACATTCATCATCTTCATCTGTAAATATACAGAGTTAATAAGACTGGAATGTTTTGTAAATTAAAAAAATAAAAGAATAATAAAAATAGATAAGATTCCAAGCATATGGGATCTTTATCCTTTCCTCAGACCAAATGCCAAAAAAAGATGGATTGTTGTAATTTCCCCACCATCACCTGCAATTTTGAGATTAAATTTCAATAATCCAAAAATGTTTGTAATTATGAATGCATAAAGAATCACAAAGTTGGTAAGAAAGCAAAAAAAAAAAAAAATTTACAGAAGACATTTCAATACTTACCTATTTGTCCAAAAGAAGCATTTCAATATTATCACCCAGTTTTGGTTAATGAAACTTCTTATGCTTCCAAAGCCTAATTATTCTATCCTTTATCCTCCATTGCTCTTTAGAAGGATTAAGATTTTTAATAAAATCAAACATATTAGCCATTAGGATATGTATGCCTTTTGTGTTACTAAAAAGAGAGACTAGTATAACATTATATATGCATATAGAAGAGACCCTTCAAATGACCAATATTTATTAGATAGATTATGAAGAAGAATTGGGAAAATAAAATTGGCA